TACCGCTTTCATATTCACAAGGAGGACGTAAGTCTTAAAACACAGGACCAGCACACAGTCCACAGTGCAATTAATATTTCAGTAAAAATGAATGCCATACGATGCAAAATTCTAGTTCTTCCTGTGCCAAACTACTCACAGTGACAGCTTACATGTAAAGAGACTGATAACAGATCACATGATATGACAGTACCATAGGCTCTTAAAATCCTGGAAGCTATGTAACCTTTTAATGAAACACTGCCTGTGGAACAATGCTGTTGCAGCTCTGGAAAAATGGAGTGAGCGATGCTGAAGGGGATGCAAAGAATGCATGTGCTGGAGAAAATTGTGCAGCCAGCTAGAGCATCACAGAGGTTTCTGCTGTAAAAAGGAGATGCTGCTACTTAGCTTTAAAAGCATTTTGTCTCTTGATCAGTGAGAACACCTGCGAAGAGCCTCCTGAGCGCTAGCTGCACAAATGGCTCCCTGACCCCATGTAACGAATTCGCACAAGCTTCTCTCTCCGAGGCACAGGTCCCTTCCTTGCATTCCAGCTTCTGTTTCCTATTCGCCATTTCGCATCAACTGAATAGTGAAAGCGATAGATACAAGGAGGTGGTGTGATAGTTGGGCTTGTCTATCTCCTTGTTTATCTGGCGGAAATGGGTTCAAAGGTGCATATACTCTGGCTGATTGCTCACTGGTATTCCTGGCAGAACTGATTACCAAGTGCTAAAAGATTCAGTAAACACTGCAGACATGAGAGATAAACGTGTTAATGCAGTCTTTCCCAACCTGGCACCCACCAGGAATGTTGAACTAGAAGCAACATTTCCGGCCAGCATGGGATAATGGGAGGTGTAGTCCAATACATCTGGAGGACATAAGGTTGGAGAAGGCTGATTGAAGCAGACATGTGAAGCCAGGCTCTCGGCTGTTGTACAAGTCTTCTTTTCAAAATCAGAAGTGGATCTGTGGCTATCGAGGACAGAGGGTGCTTTGCTTTCATTTGGCAGGATATTTATTCTAAGGAAGACGTAATGAAGTGGCAAACACTGATGAGGCATCTGCAAATCTGAGATGTGATCCAAAGATGAGAAGCCCCAGAAGTCCCAAACTATAGTTCTTCTTGTCTAGACATTTACTTTGAAACCATCTGAGTCCTTTCCTCTTTCCAGAAGACTCTTTAGCTCTTTACCCTGTTATTTTACAGTCACTGTTAAAAAAAACAACACAGATATGTAGTCACAAACCAGTTTTGGCAAACCTTTAATTTTATTCTATCATTGCTGGAGTGTATTTATCACAAGCCCCGTTTTTCCCTTTACGTTCCTCTCATTGTTTTGTTGGGCAAGCCTTCAAAGCAGTTCCTAGATGTGAGGTAAATGTTGCTGGTTTATTTATTTACATTTTGTTTCTGAATGTTAGGGAGCTGTTCAGCCCAGCATTCACAGTGTGAGGTTAATAATACTGATCGACTGCAAGGTTGTTGTGAGGGTTACCAGGATAAAGTATGTGAAACACTTTTCACTAGTGCTGTTCCAAAAAGCCTTTCACCTTTTTGTTAATGATTTTTCAACATGATTGAAAAGAAATTGCTTTTGGAAAACTGTTCACAGGAAAACTACATTTTAGACAAATTCTCCAGGATGGAGTTCAGGGTTCTTACCTCATTTATAAAGTGGCCAAGAAGTCTGTGAGTGTCCTGTTTTCCATTGTATGGCCATGTCTCTGATAGCCTCCAGCCATCCTGGCTTTCCATACTTCAGTTAAAGCCCAAGGGAAGGCGTCATGAGATAACTCCTCCCTCTTTTGATCAGGACTTGCTGGCTGCATAGGAGGTTGCACATGATAGCAAAATGCGTTATAGTGTACCCTTAGCCGCTCCATGGTGATAGTGTTAGCTTGAAAATACCACCAAACTGGTAGCAGCACAAAATACTCTTAGGATGAGTGCTACACCACTTTTAAGGGTGAATTGTGCACCAAAGAAATGTTGGCGTTTCCCTTCCCCTGGGAAAAATGTGATGAAATTGTTCCCTTGATTCTTCAACCCACTATTATGCTTGGTGATTTAGAGAGGGTATTTACAAACAGCCATATCTATGACATTCAACACAGGCTCTGAAAATCCTGAATATGATTTAATTGTAATCATGTTTCTCACACCCTTCTTACAAGCTGCTTGGAGAAGCGTATTAAGCAGAAATCCTATAAGCAGAAATCCTATATATACATTGAACAAAGTGGGGCTTACTTCTGAGTAGACATGTATAAGATTACATTGATAGACACACAAAAGTTAATGGTTATGCTTGCTGTATCTTCCCACCTTAGAACTAGTTGAGTAATTTATTCACCACAACCAACCAAATCTTTCAATAGCTGAGAGAGAAATACACATACACACAGAGATCTAAATTAGTCCAAGAATGAATTTCTCTCTAAGTGAGAAAACTCGAATTCTAACTGTAGCCAGATTAACATTTTAAAGATTATGCTATTATTTGGGTAGTCTCTGTTCTATAATATACTGAAATCTGCATGTGTCTCATGTGGGCTTGTTCTCTCTTACATCACTCAGTGTACAGGCATTATGATTTTTTATGCTATCAGAGAAAAGAAGTATCTGCTGCTCCAGAAATACTTGTTACAAGCATCTGCTGCCATCTATTGACTGCAAGGAAGGATATCATATGGGAACTTGGCATTCCCCCCATCCCCACCATTTTTATTTTTGCAAATATTCAGCAGAGAAGGTTGTTACTGTGCTAGCTAGGTAATACGACATGCAAAAATGATGGTCAAACGTCCACCTGAACAGCCACGATTCCCACATTCTCAAGGAGTTTTGTGTGATTTCTAAAAAGGGCATAGTCCTTCAGTTGCAGCTTGGCCTAGCAAGAGATATTTTTTCACCTGTGGTTTATCTTCATGGTGATCAATAGTTATTCAGTCACTGTAGATGCTTGTGCCAGTAATACTGTTAGCTTGGTGAAATAGTATTTTGCAATGCTGATAAAAGTAACACCTCTGATCAATAGATGGTGCTGTTAAGTGTTCTTACTGTTGAATTCTATTTGTGTCTTGTCTTATGCCTATTGGTTTAACTTGAAGACCCATGAAAAAGTTTGTTCCCCTAAGTAAGTGTTACAGTGGTTTCTTTTCAAGACTATTTTGCAATATCCTATGAACAGAAACCTTCAGAAATAACCATCACAGCTTTTATCAGCACATAATGATGAGCCAGAATTCTTGAGCATTTTGGTTTATTGTTCAAAGGTTATGAGCTGGAACATACAGTCTGACTGCAGCAGCTTGGCTTCTCCTGCCAGCAGAAGTGGTTAAACGAACCAGGAGAATTTAGCATTACATCTGAACACGAGCTGGGACTCCTGGCTTGTCACTTCGCTAATGAGCACAGCTTATAAAGTAGCTTGTTCTTGGTTTAAAATTCCTGCCTTGTCTTGGAGTGAAAAGCTGGGAGTCCTGATACGATGCTACAGTCAAATGACTGTACTCGCTTTCTCTCGCAGGAGAATCCAAGTGGGAGAAATCAGGCTGTGTGGAGCAGACTGCAGCCTGTTCCCCTTAAGCCAGGCTTTTGCCCAATTCTGCCTCATCATTCTGTGCGACGGCAGGCAAAGCCTTGTGGAGCTGGGGTAGGTTCATGCAGCGCTGCACGCCACCCTATCTATCCCTGAGGTACCCTTTTGACAATCAGGCCCAGCAAGGGTAGTGGGGGCCTTCCTTCCCCCTTGGAAAGGTATCCGAGCCATGTGAGCAATGAGGCACCCCCCCCACCCCGGAATCATGAGACATGTCATGCAGGGGATTTTTTTGTCACGTTAAAAAAAATCTGCAGGACATGGAAGCTGGCTGCTAAGTTGACAGCTGCAAGCTGTTCCTCTGAGGTGCCTCAGCAGTAGTTTGAAGGGGCTGCTTGTAGTTGTCAAGTATTTTAACCCCCCTCCAAGTTTTCACAATTCATTATGATTTTACAAGCAAAAATGAGCTATTTTTGCTATTTCTTCCATTGTGGAGTATATGGCTGGGTGGACTGTCTGTGACACGAACCTCCAAGTCTAGGCACCCAGTCAGGTGTTTGGCCGCTTGCTCAGCCACAACAAAGGCTTTGAATTAAAAGGCAGCTTGGTTCAACTTGTGTGCCTACTCATTGAAAATCATTGTAGGCTCCTTTTAAGTGTGGAACCCTTTTAAGGTGGTGTATAAGACAAAACCCATGCAAAGTAGATACAATAGAAACAACATGTCCATATTAAATGAAGTCATTAACAATAAATATTAGCAATAAAAACAGAAGTGACCAATAAAACCAGCTGCCTAAGGCACTATAGGAAGGTCAGTGAAAAGAGAGCTTTCTGAGAGACCTGCAAAGAGTCGCTGTCTGACAAGTACCCAGCAGAAGCTGAGTCCAGAAGCGAGAAGGCCCTCTCCCTCATGCATGGCTTGGATGGAGACTTCTGGGACGTGACTGATGGAACTGAAACCTGGAACTGAAACTGCCAATAACTACACTGATGGGAGCAGAATCATTCTTTCTCAATCTGTGCATTTCAAGACAAAAGCTTCCTCCTACGCATTCCACCAATCACTTCTGAACTAACATCTCTACCATAAATCTTCAGTGATCTCTGCTGCAGAGGAAACTGTTATTTGAAAGGCTGCCACGAATTTCCTGCCTTTCAAGAAAGAGGAAGCATAGCAAAGAAAAAAAATTAAGACCATTCTCCAGAACGGTCAGATTGCCAGCTTTGACCGTCTTTGCAATTTGTAAACATTTTGAGAAGTTGGGGTGGGGGAGATAAGCTTCCACCAGCACACTGTCCCCCAAAACCTGCAGGGGGAAACAAAGGCAAGGTGTTCTAATTAAAGATCTAATTAAAACTCTCCTCAAAATATTTTTGTTACGCATGCAAGAACAGAGAAGTGAGAGTTTCTTCCATTGCTGTTTATTAGTTTTGCAGATAACAGCAGTGCACGTTGAGACTGATAATGTGAAGTTTAGGTTCTGCAATCTTTACTACCCCCACTACTCAATAGTGTATCTTGCAGATTGTGAAACAATTGACTTTTCGATTGCCTGCCAGTGGATCTCATAAGAGGGACTGAGATGAAGGTTTATTAGGTTGTTTAATTAGGTTTCTGGGGTCAAGTCCATTATCAGAATTCCTGTGAAGGGTTCCAAAGGGAGGAGCTGCATTCATCTGTAGCTATAAGACGCTGCAAGCAAATTCTGTTCCCTTTAGGCTTTGAGTTTTAAAATCTGACAACTAACTCCTCCCTTACCACTGTGTGGAATCAGTTTTGCCTCTAAACAAGGCTGTAGAGCAGGACAGCAAAACCAACCTCTGGAGGCTCCTAAAGATGGAAGAAAAAGAAAGCCCTCCTTGGTAAAACTAAGCTAATGATATGAACAGATGAGCCAACTGCAGAGTCCTCTCAGAAACAGCTCCTTCCACAACAAGGAGTTCTGGATGATAGATGATAGAAGAAACATAGATGGCAGAAACGTCATCCTTGTCCTACGATGCAGGACATGGCAGTAGGTAAGTGCAGAATAAGATTTTTTTTAAACAATCACAACAGAAGTATGTATTATGTTAGTGATACTGTTTCACTGACTCTGCAGTGGAAACCAGGGATCCACCAACTGCCTTCCATGGATGGGGGAGGCTCATGGAAAGTGTACACCACAGTTCAGTCCTTTAGCAGGGTCTTTGAGCCCGCTCCGTAACATTTTCAGGGAAGCAGAGGGGCTGCTGTGGGGAGCAGGGGATGGGAGGTCTGCTTTCATCAGCCCAGTTACTAAATCTGGCTCCACTCCAGGGCATGTACTTAGGTGGCACTCACTTCCTTGAGAATAAGCCCCACTGAATAAAGTAGGATGTACCAGAGGCAAAGATGCATAGGGTTGGATAGTTAAGAGTTCCATTTTAAAAACTTTTCTATAAGCTATAATCTATTAGGATGGCTGATATGTTAGTGTCAAGCAGCAAATGAAAGGGAGCGATCTGTGGAAATGAGAGAAAAAATGGAATCTATTTTAGTTTACAAGTTTTGAAAGCCATGATCTTGGAGACTAACAAGTCCACCTAAACAAGGCTGGTGCCAAGACTAGGTGTGATTAGGCAGCTGCTGAGGGGCCACATCCCAGCAAGGGCCCACCAGCAAGAGCTCCCTCGACTGGCTCCTCCTCCACGCCCTGGCAGCCTGCTGGTCACCTGCTTCTTGTTCTGGCCCAGACTGCAATGGTGGTGGTGAGGAGGAAGAGGTGCAGGGCCATAGTTCCCTTGTGGGTATGGTTGATTGTCACCATGTTGCCTTCTATGACGTAGGTATTGTGTCGTGTAGGAGAGAATATGTGATTGGGCATCTGGGACTGGACCTCATTTCTCCTTAGTGCTCAGTTTCTTGGCTACGCTTCTTGTCTTTACTGGTCTGCCTTCTGTGAAACAGATCTGGAGCAGAAAGCTTTCAGTACAAAAGAACTGTTATTCTGGAGCTCAAGCCATATCTCTGCCTTAGGCTCTTGGGCCAGTCTATTTCAGTTAGTCGCACCAGCTTTTCTTGACAAGGATGTTTTATGACTCATCATGACTACCATAGAGTCATTTTGTGAATGGGCATAACCTTCTCAGTAACCATTTTGGGAAAGCACCCACAACATTCTGTCAAAATACCAAATGTGCCCACCAAGCCCAAAAAGGTTTGGGCCCCTATGCTAGAGAAACTATAGTCAATATAGATGCATTATGGAATGGTGACTACAGAGTTTCTAATTGTGTTTCCACAGAATAATAAGCCAGGATTCTGGAGAATCATGGCTTACTATGACTAACCTGTATGCTGGCACACATAGCCAGTGGTTCCACTCAGCTTTTCCCAGTAGTGGGAGTAAACATGGGACACTGGTTTGTTGCTCCCTTTGTAATCAGAAATAAGGGCTTGTTCTGGGTTTATAAATCAAAGCTTACTTGGGAGCACCAAGCCCAGATCCCATGTTTGGATAACATGGGTAGGTATGAGACTGTGCAGTTAGTCTTTTTTCCCCGGTTTTATGCTAATAATAGGTAGCCCCATTTTCCTTTCTTCCTTCTGATCTGTGAATCTCTTTTCCCTGCCCCACCACCAGAACAGACATATTTGGGGAAAATGAAAGAGAAATCCTGCTTTGTAGTTCCTCCCACTTTCTGTGACAGGTCTTTTTAACTAGTTGTGCTGTTTCTTTTACTGTTGTACTTTTAATTCATTTGTTCTTATGCTCTGTTTTAATTTGTTATATCCCCAAATATATTGTTAGCCATTCCAAGAACAAGTTTGGATGGTACAGTGAGAGATAAATAAATAATCCAGATGGCCCCCGTCACCTGGGGTAAAAGTGCATTGGGAGCTTTCATGAGTGCTTCTGCTGTTAAACCCATTTTCCTGTGTAAGGAAGTTTGCCCCCGTAGACACTGCAAGTTGATACCTTGGGTGAATGTGTGGCTAGTGGCCGCAGAAAAAACACCTTGGGAAACAAGAAATGTATTTGATGCTACATTTAATCACAGTGGCGAGGATTGCGCTTGCTCAATACTGGAAGAATGAGGAACTGATTTTAAAAAAGATTCTGGACTGTGCAGAAATGGACAGATTGACTCTATTACTGAAGGAGAAAGAAAATACTGACTTCTATCAAACTTGGGAACTTTTTTATGATTGGCTGGAGAAACGGGACTTGGCTTAAAGCTGTCTTTAAATTTTTACAAATCGATTTGAATATGATTATAGAATGCTAAAAAGATATGTTATAGGGGGCTGACCCAGTACATCCGATGTAATTGATGATTGATTTTTTTAGTTTTTAGTTTAAAATCTTAATAAAAATGTGCAAAAAAGAAAAGAAAAAACACCTCGGTATTCCAGAAGAGCCATGGCAAGTGTACTGAGATTGGCCAGAAGCTAGCTGCTTTGGGTGGTCTCACAACACCCTGTGGCTATTTCCCTTGGAAAAAGTGATATTAAGAACATATTAAGATAAGCCAGGTAAGCTCAAAAGGTTTATCTAACACAGCACCCTGTTTCACATAGCAGTCAATCAGATGCCTCAATAGGGGGCTCATAAACAGCACAAGAGGGTCACAGCACTGTCCTGCTTATGTCCCCCAACATTCGGCATGCAGAGGAAGACTGCCTCCAACACTGGGGATAATATATAGCCATAATGACTAGCATCCATGTTAGACTTCTTCTCCATGAATTTGTCCAATGTCATCCCAGTGGTAGCCATGACTGCATCTTATAGTGGCAAATCCCATAGTTAAGCTATGTGCTTCCTAAAGATCTGCTTCACAAAGAGGAAGGTCAAGGTCTTTTCTTACTGATGCCAGAGGGTAGGACACAGAAAAGTCAGTTCAAGTTGCAGCAACCCAAATTCAGGCTGGACGTCAGGAAAAGCTTCCTCAAGGTCAGACCAATATGACAGTGGAACCAGATGCCTAGAGAGGTGGTGGGTTCTTCCACACAAGAGACCTTCAAGGTGAAACTGGGCAGTCATCTGAGTGGGATGGTGTGACCTGGCATTCTGCCCCAGTGGGGGATTTAACCCAATGGCCTTCTTGGCCCCTTCTGTAAGGAATGAAATCCAAGCAATGACGATACAGGAGGCAAAGTACCAAGCAGCAACAGTTTAATACGTTCTGGCCAGACTGGGCACTCATCCCGAAGGTAGTGCACTGGAGGAGCAGTTTACACAGCCTTTTATTCCCTACTTCACGCGCAAAGACCTTGCCTCCTTTCTCCCATTGGCTGGGATACTGGGAATTCACACTCTTCTCCGTCCGCCTTCATCATACTACTCCTTGGTATGTTACCTCCACCTGCTCATACGTCCCATGTTCATGTTAATAACCCTCTGAGACATAGTAGGAGGCACCAGTAATATGCATTAGCTAATTACACAGCCATACTTTGGATTCTAAGTTCAAAAGTTTAATGCCATGTCTACCAATTACATCTTGTAGTCTATTAGTTTGTGTTAATCACAATAACTTTATTAATCATTAAGTGATCTATATAGCTTTACCTGTTCTAGTCCGTTAATCACAATACCTTTATTAATCACTAAGTGATCCATAGCTTTACCTGCTCTAGTTTGTTAGACAAAGTAACCTTCTACTTCTTACACTTCTGATCCTAGTATTCTCTGGTTCCTTTTATCTGTCCTGAATCTTCCATCGGTCAGCTCCATGGGATGAGCCTGGTTTGTAACACTCTGAGAGGGCTACGGTGCGCACAATTTCATACACTCCTTTCGGTCTCCTCTCACTCACTTTTTCCCCAAGCCAAACACTCCCAAGGGCATCACCACCGTATATCACCTGCAATTAGAGTGCCCCTAAGCATGTGAATTATATGGTGCAGAGTGGGAACTGGAGAATGTTAAAGCTGGCTCCTGTGTCCCAGATAATCCTACAGAGACAGGCATTGCTATATAAAGTATTGAGAGAGGCTCTGAATGTCAAGTTTACTTTATATTCACTGAATTTCTAAGTTGCCTTATTTCTCATCACATATTGGAAGCTGCCTTGATTTTATGAATATTTAAATAAAACTTAATCACTGGAACATTTTAAGTCAGTGTAACATTTGGAAAAAGTAGCATTTTATGCAAACTCTAAAAAATGCGATGATGGGATTAACTTTCAGTGGGATATTCCCCAGACTATAAATACTTAGCCATAGATTTTGCTGGAATAATTTCCCTCCACTTTGTCCTATGATCCTACACATATTTACTCAGAAGTCCCATTTGGTTCAGTGAGACTGACTTCTGAGCAATCAGGCATAGGATCATGCTGTATGAACAAATGATTCTAATTGTGCCAGGATAACAACCTAGAATAATTTGTCCATATGATAATAGCACATAACGACGTTTGCACATCTCTTATCTGTAGAACTGTGCAATAGTACAGCTCACCTAGTTGGCAAATAACAGACATGTTTGTTTAACCTGCAAAATCTAGTGGGATCCCGCAGCCTGCTTCCAGCATGCTTGCTGTTTCCTTTTTCAGTTAACAACCTATAATCATCCAATTTGTAGGTTATTAGCCCAATGTCAAACTCAGTTGTTCAGGGGTAGTTATTATTTGAGCAACTTGGTTGAAACCACCTCTCTGGTTCCTCCCGTTCCAAATGACGACTGCATCTTTGGTGCAGGTGGTCGGGGCTCCCTCTGTGGTTGTGTATCTCATGAGTGACACTGACATTTGCCACCAGTTTTACAACCAAGGAATCTTTTGATGCTGGAAGATTTAGACATCACCAAGAGCAGCAGAGGAGTTGCAAAGGAGATGGCCGCCATGCTGCTCCAATTAACATGCAAACAGGTCCCTAGACTGCAAACAGCCAGAACAAAGCTGCACCTTTCCAATAAAAGCCCATGCATTCTCCTTCTGCTGGGTCAAACTATCATTGATAGCTCTGGGAGTGTAATGCCTTGAAGGGACACACTGCTGTGGACTGTATTTGAAGCAGTGACATCAAACTGCACAACCTGCTTCACAACTCCTTGAGGCATCCAGTCTCCCTGGCACAGTCATTTAGATTTCATGTAGTTCCTACCCTTACAGAGGCCCATAAGATCCCCCTTTTGCAGGTTGATGCCTGCACTCTACCTGCATCAAAAGACCATTGATTAATCTATATTAAGTATGGATTTAAGGGTACTTAGCACCATTGAAGATGCAAGATAGGGATATTTCTAGCAAAGCTTAATAGCAAAACAAAACAGCCAAGAGTGAAAAAGCAGCTACAAGGTGGGACAAACTGACTTCTGTTGGCAGTCTCTACTTCAGCCATGGGAAATCAACCAAGCAGGAGCGATTCCCCCTCTGCAAGATACCCATTTCCTATTAAAGTAAGATGGAAAATTTCTGCAGGTTGGAGGACTCCCATGTTGACCTGCTCCTGCCATCCAACAAGTGAAGGTCAGGAGGAAGAAAGTAGTACTGGAAGCAGTGGAATCCACCCATCTTCTGGAAGGAAGGGAGTTGGCACTCTGGCACTCCTTGAAGGCAAGGCTGCCTGGGGTTTTCTTTCCTTGTATGCCTGCATGCCTGTTCTGGGCTGGTTCCCTCTAGAGAGGAAGGGATATGCTATTTGCATGTTTTCTATATTCTCTAGGAGAGGGCCTGCAGTGTTAGAACTGGACGCTCTGTGTCTGCATGCCAAGAATAAGAGTGCCAGGATGTTATATGCATCGGGAAGTGAAAACATCTGTGTATGTAATAATGGGTGTTATCAGGAAGCTTTGAGCAGCATGTTAAAGTATGGGAAGTGGGATGCTTTTTTAAAAAAGATTCCTGTTAATCTAGGCCTGAACAGTTTGAGTTAGAAACAGGGCACCACTTTAGGTTTCAGGTAAGATCAGGAAAATTCAAAGTATGGTGCAAATGTTTGCTCTCAGCCCATCCAAGCTTGAAGTGCGCAAAAAAGTGTGGGGAGGATTTTTCAGAGCACATATGATGACGATGATAATGATGATGACAACAACTTTTTGTTTCATTTATTTTCCACAGCTGAAGCTCTTTGAGTGGTTTAAACAATCCGTAGAAAGAAATGATTCAAATACAATAAAATGTTGAAAAATCAGGAAAAAAAATCAAAATGTTTAAGATAGTTATAAACAGATGACTATCCATTAATTACCTGAGGAATAATACTTACATGTGGGTTTTCAGCCTGTGTTAAGGAAAAGGTGGCAGTGCCACTTGAAATATTACTTCATTTGGATGAGGTCACGATGGGCAAGATTTCTGCTGTTGAGAAAAGACGTGGGAGGCATTCTGAGCCTGCTGAAACTCAGTGTAAATCCTCACTATTATTCCTAAAGCTTCAGTTGTCACATTTGGTGTAGACTTCAAACAGTGGAATGGAATATCTACCTGCACATTCCAGTTTTTTCAGTCTCTGTATTTTATGCCTATGTTCCCCTTTGAGCAAGACAAAGGATGGATTTTTCCCTTGTGTGACTCTGAACTGCAGTAGCCATAATTCAGGAAAGAATTCTGGAGTGTGGTGATTGTGCTAGTAGAAATAGTTTAAAGTGAATTTCATAAATCAGCCTAGCCCAGCTGTTTTTTTCTCACCTATCCCACACAGGTCTGTAGACAGGGGGTTCCAGTCCTTCCACGTCTCACTGTTCAAACATAATTGGAATAGGTTTATGCTTGCAAACTATGTCCAGGGGCAGAATGGAGGCCTCTGTTATGGAATACCCTTAATCTAGCCTACCCCACCAACTGGTTAGGGCAAAGCAACAATGACAACCACCCCACAATCCAAGCATCATGTATCTACTGAAGGGGTCTGAACTAGCAATGACTAATCAGGAAGAAGATCAAGGAGTCATGATGAAGAGCACAATTAAAATATCAATTTAGCTTGCAGCATGAAAAGGTGAATTACATGCTAGGGATCATTAGCAAAAGGAACAAAGGTAAAGCTGCCAGTATGTAAACCTTTACATAAATCTGTAACATGGCCACACTTGAAATTCTGAGCATACTTGTGGTTGCAACTTCTGCAAAACTGCTATGCAGCTGGAAAAAGGTGAGCAAAGGCTCTCTAGTATGTTGGCATAGAACATATATCACTGTATAAGGGAGATGGGACAGAAGAATCTGCACATTCCTTTATCTCTGCTGTACCTCTTGACCAAATTGGTTTGGAAAAATTTAGGCTTACATGCACACTGTTTTATTAGACTTTCAACAAATTTAGGGCCAGATGTTTTGAGCAACTTTGGAGGCCTGTGTGCATGCTGGAAAAAATGACCACAGTGTGTTACTAAAGAAAATGATGGCATTTGCATGCTGATTCACACACACAAATGTTCCTCAAATGGGTTTTACTGCCCAAGAAAACCTGTAAATTTTCAAGATGTTAAAAGTACACGTAAGCATAGACACCGGAGTAAGTGAATGCTTCAATAATAACTAAAGCCACCTGTGTACAGAGTTAAAGATTACTTCCTGGTGGTGCTTAAATAATAAAGCTCCTAAGGCATTTCAGAAGGCATTCTCAAAATGTGGGGATTTTTTTTTTTTTTTGTATCCTGCCTTCTTAAGTCTGTCAGGAAATCCTTTCCACTCTTAAGTAATCAAGGAATAGCCTTCCTGTTTCCTCCCCCACCTCCTTCTTCCCGGCTCAGCCCTCCATGCTGCTGAATGTGCCAGGTTGCTGACAATTGTCTGATAGTACGATGCACTCAGTACTGCATTGTTTTAGATTTCCATGAAACTATGTCTACAGAAGGCTGGAATACCAGATGAACCATAAAAGAAACAACTAAGTAGGCTCTGTTTCCACTGCCAACGCATTTACACTACAGCTCATCATCTCCATGGAAGGCAAAGTACAGTTTGGATTATGTGTACTGCCCAGTATCAAATGATAGTGGAAATGACTTGTATTTTACTGTTGTAGGATTGTTCCGTGTATAAATTTCAGTATGGTTCCTCTGACTTGCATGTATTCTGAGGAACATCATTGTATTTATGCAGTGCTTTTTTTGTAAGAAAAAAGGTGCTGGAACTCATGAAATTATTTACCTTTCACACGTAGTCAATCACTGTACACACAGCCACACACGCCAGTTGTGTAATGAAACGTAACGGTTGCCGCATGCAGTAAGCACTCAGTGTGCAACCACACGACCAATCACAAGCCGAGCAGCACCATCACAACCAGCGCAGACTAAGTACGCATGCGCCGGATTTGACACACGAGCAGCCCGCATGCACTGTTTTAATGATTTTGCCGCCGACCTGCTATGCTCGACAGGGCGATTCAAATCCACGTGGACCAAACATCAAATTTTCAAAAGTTACTTTTAAAACTTGGAAAATCTGTCAAAAAAAGGTGCCGGAACTCCATTCCGGTGCGTTCTATGACAAAAAAGCACTGTATTTATGGTGTTTAGGTTCATAGAAGTGTAGTAGCAAAAGGAACCTTTTCTTAATAGAGGAAGATTGCATAAATTCATGGAGGCTAAGGTTACCAGAGACTAGACTTGGGTCCTGATTCACCACAGACATCACCCTCCCAACACGCACCCAATGATCAGGCATCAGGTTTACAGCACAGAAAGCAAGCTCACAGCACTTTGCAAATTTACATTTTTGAATGCGTGTGTGAATGAAGTGTTCCTACTCGGAATTTTGGGGATATCTGGGCATTATTATTGGTATAACGGGGGTGAGCAACTTGTGGCCCTTCAGAAGTTCTTGGACTGCAATTGCCATCATCCTTTACCATCAGTTGAGCTGTCTAGGCTAATAGGAGTTGGAGTCCAACAAGATCTGGAAGGCCACAACTTAATACCCTCCATTTAGTTTCAGATGTTTGTATACTACTGGCCTAATTACTATTGTAGGACATGGTTATGCATATGCTTTTGGAGGCAATCAATCATGCTGCTAGACCATATGGTTTGCATCCAAATCAGCTAACAAAACCATGAAATAGAACAAAGGGTGTAGGAGCAAGTGTAGCCTAATGGTTATAGCATTCTCCCATGACCTGGTGCCCACTCACTGTGTTGAACTGCAACTCCATCATGCCCTAGAAACGTGGGGCTGGGAAAGCTTGGAGAACTTCATTTAGAATGGGAAGTAGTGCGTTCAAATCATTGCTCAAGCAGAAAATTTACTAGGTAAAGTAGGGTCAGTAACTCTTCCAACCTAACGGAGTTATTTTAGGAGAAGAGGGGAAAGAGGCAATGGGGAGGAGAGTTAAAAATTGTATTGGAAAGGTAAATTTTATAAAATAGGAAAATGCTGCTATAAAACGGCAAAAAGAGAACTGCGTGCATATGGGCTCAAGCTTGTCAGCGAACACTTAAGCCGTGCCCTACGAAGCAGCCTGAATTCCCCGCTCTTCGTTTTGCTTCGCTTCCTTCCAGAGCAGGAACGGGGAGCGAAGGCAGCCTCGCAATCTCAGTTGATATTTAACCAGCGATGAAATGTCTCGGTTTCATGGGCAGGGAGCGCGCGCCCCAGAGACACTGGAATTCCTGTGGCTGTGCAGGTGGCTGGACGGGACGAGCTAGTTTCAGCAAAACCATGGGCTGCCTCTCGGTCCAGCCGATGGCAAAGTGACGGTAAACAACTTCGGCGACCTGTTTCCTCTGTCGGCCTCCGGCAAACTCTCTCCCCCTTCCCTTCATTGTTCGGGGAGAGAGAGAGAGAGAAGGAGAGTGCAAGCCCAGCTTTTTGCAGAGCACCGGTTCGCGCGCTCTCGCCCTCTCTCTCTCTCACACACACAACCCTTCCCTGGAGCTGTTTACGAGTTGGCTCTTGGGTAACCCACTGACCTCACCGTCCTAGCAGCACTGCTGGGAAACGGAGGCTCCCTCTCGGCTGGACTGATTAGCCTCCCGCCGGAGACATTCCTCGTCCTCGCGCGAGTGAGGCGCACTAAAGGCCCGCGCACGCCCCGCTAGCCTGCCAGTGCCGGAGCCGCCGCCTTTCTTTCACGCGGAAAAGCCTGCAGCTTGTGGAGTCCCTCCCCCGAAGTTTCTGTCCTTGTTTTGCCTCCAACCGCGCGGCCGAGGCACTTTTGGCCAGGGAGGAAGAAGGTATGTTGGGCGCCAAAGCGAGCTTCTGCACTTGAGCCCCCAGGTCAGTACCGCTGCTATTGCTGCTACCACCCTGCTTGTCCCGGGGGTTTGGAGCACCGCCACCCGCCGGCCACAGTTCCGCTCCGGGACCAATGTGCCTTCCTGTGGAAACTTCTCAGTCCGTAGCCCGGGCGGAGCGGCCGGCCGGTGTTACGTTCCTTGCCCCGGTATATGCGGTCGCCAGGGAGAGCGTCACGGCCAGGGCGCTGGACAACAAGGAAGAAGACACCTTCCCAAATCCACGTCGTGTAATACTTTTAATAGGCCAACTCAAAGAACACAAACTGTCTGCGACCCTTCCAGAGTTTCTTGCGTCTTCTGGCAAGGTGTTACAAAAAGCAGGTTGGAGTCTTGCAAAACCAAGGTCTCGAGAAGCACAGAAATGCAGGCTCC